GGGGCCGATCTAATACTGGGGCAAGCTCCTATATGTATAGGCCGATCCAGTATTGGGGCAAGCTTCCCTGAATATGCCAGGCCGACTCCGAAAGGAGGCAAGCTCCTGGAAACAGAGGCCAGGTATAAGACCTCTAAACCTAAGACAGGCACCGTCTACCCAGAAGATAAGTGGCTCAAAGCACCCTAAGTAGTGCTTCAACCCCTCCTAAAAGAACAGAAAGGGAGGAGTTGCCGGAGACCAAAGAGCCTCCACCCACAAAATGGCGAACTCCCTGCGTCTCTTCCGGGTTCTCTGCTCCCGCTGGCGCCAACCAAAGCCCAGTCACCCCTTTACACCTTCCCGCCAGCGCCCAGTCACCCCTTTACACCTTCCCGCCAGCGTCACCTAAGGTCCAATTGCCTTTTGACCCACCCCTTCCTTGCTGACCTGTATAAGTTAAGCCTACAAACAATAAACTGTGCCAGCTTGATCAGACATCCTGTCTTGCTGGTCGTTCTTTGTGTCCCTTGCTTGTTTCATTTCTGCAGGCGTCTCCGGCACACTCCACGTTCGTCCCGCGGGCCGGGACACTCAATAAACTTGATTTTTATGGGGACTTGGGGGAAATGACAAAAAGGGGGTGAGGCTGCAGTGCTGTGATTGCTTTATTCTTTCTACCCGTATTTTGAAGGATTGTTTTGTTTTACCGCACAGAGCTGTTAGCACTTTGAAATCATATCTTATCAAAGAACACGCAAAATGTTTTCCTCAGCATTAGGACGGATGCAAAAGTATCAATATAGCCTGGAAAAAAATTCGTTTTTCTTATGTCTTATGGCTCGGATTACCACAGAGGAAAGTATCTCCATCAAGGCCTCTGCTGCCTCCTCCCCAGCAGGATAGACCCTGAAGACAGACTGCATAGATTCCAAGGAGGTGGGCACAGGGACCCTCCAGCTCAGACAGCTTTCTCCAGAGGCCTGGGGGGATCTGCCCAGGATGGTCCCGTCAGACCCAGCACCCCAACCCCCGAGTCCAACCCCCAGCCATGAAGAACCCTGGGCATGGGCCCCACCCAGCCTGCAGCCTCGCTGTGCACAGCCCCCAGGGGCAGCCATATCATGACCTGCTTAGTGGTGTATCAGCCCAAGGCAGAAAAACAGGGCATGGCCCTGGAGTCCCTACAGAGGCCCGAGGGTCAGGCAGCCACAGGGTACCCCACGCAGGTGCCCAGCTTGATGGTCTTGTCTCTTTGCAGGGACAGCAGCATGAGGAGTACTGTCACTGCAGAAAGCCGGATATTGAAGCCTAGGCCGGCGAGGCCTGCGAGGGCCTGGCCCCCAGGCCCCTAGACTAGAGGGGCGCTTGCACTGCAGCAGGGTCGGCCTGTCAGGTGTGTCCTGTCCAGGACCTGGCAGTCTGCAGTTGGGGTCTTCTGTGTCCAGGAGAAGCCCAGGATGCTGGCTGACCCCCACCAGCGACCATGGGCCTTGACCCTGCACAGAGGGAACCCCCACACCCACTGTCTCCAGGGGAGCTCAGCTGGTTCACCCTCCCACCACCTGGCCCCCGCTGGCCGGTGGTCAGGCAGCTTACACTGCTGAGCCACAGGGAAATTTTGGGAAACTGTAGTGATGCCATCAGAAGATTGTGAGCAAGGTCCCTCCTGAAGTGGTTCCTTCCCTGATAGCAGCCCAGTGTCCAGCCATGCCAGGAGCAGAGAGCACCCTGGCTGGGCTCTCAGCTTCTGCTCTCTCCACCCTGGTGGGTCGGGGAAGCCTGGCTTCCTGCTTGCGTCCTCACTGTGACCTCCCCCCACTCCAGCCAGCTGGGCACCAGGTCCAGATGAGCCCTGTGCATGTGCCTCCTTGGGCCTGGAGCTGACCCTGTCCTCATCACATCCAGTCTTCCGAACCACACACCACTGCAGAGTCTGAGCTTCGGGCATCAGACCAGTAGAAAGCTCCCAGGACCCTCTAGCAGCCCCGCAGCACCCCCACCCCAACACCCCAGACACTCTTGCCCATTGGACTGCCACACTACCCACCATGGAGAACCAGGGCACTGCTGGGTCCTCCCTCCTTGGAGAACCAGGGCACTGCTGGGTCCTCCCTCCTCGCCGCACCCGCTTGCCCAGCCCCTCCCCAATCCCAGCACGCCTGAAGGACCCCACAGACTTGCAGAGTCACCAGGGAGTACTGAAGCTCTTTATGAGGAGCCAGGACAGGGGTGCAGGGCAAGGAGGGAGAAGGCGAGGAGGCAGGAAGGATAGGCAGGTCCAGGACCAGGGGTTTCTTCCAGTGCAGGACGGAGGGTCCTGGTCCTGCCCCTGCCCTGGGAAGGAGGGGTCAGTGAGGCTGGGACGTGGAGGGCAGGCGGCAGGAGCAGGCCTCTCAGGGAGGCAGTGTGGGAACAGATTGCAGTTCCCACTGGGAGCATGTGTGGTAGGGAAAGACCCCTGCCCATTGCTCCCATAGTACACAAAGAGCAAACCCAGCAGGCAGTTAGAGATCAGACCCTGCAGATCAGAGTCCTGTCAACACCACCAGATGTGCCATCCTCCTTCATTAAAGAAACGCACCAAATACTAATTAACGTAATTCTCTAACCAGCCCAACTCTAGGTAGGTGGTGGGGGAAGGAGGAAAGTGAATTTTCTATTTTCCCCCCTACTTTAATGAATTTTCTTTTCTTCAGAAAGCATATCATCATTTTCTGCTGTAATCAGGAAAAGAAGTACTTATTGAAAAGTATGCTTCAATCTCTTGCTTTTGGTGACAGTAAGTTATTTAGCCAGGAAGGAAGTACATGAAGGAATTCTAGGGCACTGCAGTCAAAATCTGAAGTTTCAAAATTTTTAAAATTACATTCTTGAAGTATAACACGACTAAAAATCAATGACATAGAGAACTTTTCATTAAATTATTTGTGATCATTTCTATTAATATAAAATTTCAATTGAACTATCAATGCAACGTCCTGATTTCCAAATACTATACTTCTTATATAAACATGTCATTGGTATATTTACTCTCCATCACAGCTAGAAACATTTCCATGCACTTTGGGGAATTACTACCACTCTTACAAATCATGTTTGGATTATTTGAAATAAACAAAATAATTTTTTCCCCTGAAGGAACGGAGAAGGAATTCTTTTGTAGATAAAGCCCAAAGGACTGCCTTTAGAACAGCAGGCTGGATAGCTATAATTATTTAACTATTTATTCTATGAGACAATAGTTTCATTGCTTTAAAATTAGCAACTATGATATAATACAGTGTCGAACTTTTCTGACATCAAAACAGACATTACACCTTATAACCAGCCTGTTTTTTCCAATGAAAATACCACATAATTGAGATTTTGCCAATCTTACTCCCAAAATAAAATTATAAGTGAACGCCAAATCTTTCTTCTAATATTTCCATGCTTAGAAATCTTGGACCAAGTACTTCATACCAATTTATTATTGTGTAGTATTTGTAACAATACATGTAAAGTTTGACATTAGAAATTAAAATTCTTCAGAGTTGAATAAAAAATTTGGCTGGTACTTGATCAAATCCAATTTAAAAAGTACACACTTGACAATGAGTTGAATGAGCATGAAATAAACAATATAGGAAATAACTGAAGCAAACATTAAAATTTGAATCATTTTATTATAAAAACTTATATAAAGTAAACCATAAATAATTTAAAAACAAAACTTAAACAGGATTAAGGCAGTACATAAAACATTTCAAATGAAAAGGTAATAACAAAAACCTTATTAGCTGGTTTGACATTATTCCTCTTTTTAGATATATGATGCTTTATTACCTAGACTTAGTGATCTCTATTACATTGAGTTAGGCTATGAAATAATAAACACTATTCAAAAAGATTGTCAAACTCCAGGATTAACAAATACTTGCAAAGTGATCACCAAAAGCTTTGTGTATTTCTAACAATAAATCCAGAATACAAAATCCATCTAAATCATCTAACCAAACACCAAGTTACTCTGATATTGTTGGGGAGAAAGTCGGTTTGGAAATGCAGGGAAGTCAGAGTGAGACACGAAACCAAAGTTAGGAAGGCAAAGTGACTTTTATTTTGCCCTGTGCAGCAGAGTGGGTCTGCCTAAGGTTAGACAGGCACGGGCAGTTTATTCCAAGTCTTCTTTTATGGGGTCTTGGCAGGGCAGAGAAGTCCTTGAATGATAATCTTTGGCCTTGGAGGCCTGGTCTAATTGGTAAAAAGAAGACAGGGGCTGCTCTGATGATGTCTGTGCCTGTCTTTGGATGTTTTATTTTCTCTTATATGGGGAGAGTCTGTGCTTGGAGACTTCTCATCTGGGTATGCTTTTCTTTTTTTTATCTGGAGAATGTTTGGATGTTCTAAGTAACTCCTAGTCCTTAAAACTTCTACTAATTAACTCTGTGAGTCTTTTCTGCCTCTCTGGTTTTACCTGGTTAACTCTTTGAGTTCCTTTTAGTGGGCTTTGCTAGTTTTAGTCTCCCTCCACTGGCTTATGTCTACCTTTCTGCCTAACAATATGGTATAAAGAGAAAATAAAATCTTAATTATAGTAAGGTTGTGTTCACGTATGGGTTTTTGTCAATATACTTTTAAAACAAAACAAGACTAGCCACCATTCCTGAAAACCCTTCCTACACTATGCTGAAATTTTAAAAAGACTTACTAACCTCAAGATTACATGGAAAAGTAAGATTTTTTATTGTTGAAATCACAAATAATTTTTCTTTTGAACTTACAGAAGTTTTCTGTTGTAAGTCCAAAGTTGCTAGAGTTCACAAATATTAATTTTTTCTCACATTAAAAAAAGAAAGAATTCCATCTGGGAAAACACTTAACTGTAAAGAATCCATTCTCCCCAAGAAGTTCTCAGAACTCAGATGCTCACTTTCACAAATAAGATCTTCACACCGTATTTTTTTTTTTAAAAAGTTGCTACCAGACTATAGTGCTCATTCACCTTACTTAAAATCAGACTTTGTAATTATTCAGTGACAAATATTATTATTATTTGGATAACTTAGTCCAAACAAGTACTGATGGCAGACAAAGGAATAAATATTTGCTAATATCTGAAGCTAAATCTCAACTTAGACAATTAGGATTTTATTTATGTGACTACTATCCAAGTTAACTGCTGATTCCAGTAAGATGTTCTATCTTGAATAATGCCATTATGCCATAAATAGTCACTTTTTCCAAAACTGTGTTCAATTTTCACATGTCATACATTTCATAGTAAGAACTTAAACTTGGATAACAGGTTCTGAAGTCTATAATTAGTCTGGAAAGGCTGACTGACAAATAAATGATCATCCCATTAAAGAAAGAGCCACAAATTTGTTTCTTCCCACTTTCTCAAAAAAACCTGTCACAGAAGATTTTAGGGTATATTGCATAGACTGAGTTCCTCAAATATATCAGTGCCTCAGAAGCACAGGACAAGGTTGATGGTTTTAAACTATTTCCTTTACAAAATCTGCACTAAAATGATCTTACACACATCTGTATTTTTTTCAAAGCCCTCCTAACAAAGATTCTGCCATACAATGTCTATTAATAGGCTTTAAAAGATGGGGAAAACTGTTTTAGTATCACACAGACACTTTCAGTTTCTTTTTCTTGGCCTTCAGTACAGGAGGTAGAGAAATCTTAAAAGCTGTCCTGAAATGACAGAGAGGAAAAGACTGTTTATGCCCTAAATCTCTAAGTGTGAGCTAGCCACTCAACTGCAAAGATACTTACTCGCACGTAGTACAGATAGGGCTGAAATTGCAGAATACTATAAATTAAAAAGAAAAAACAGGATGGTTTAAAAACCACATTACTGAGATATTTTCTGCCCCAGCCCCAATATAGAAAAAAAGAAAAACTCAGTACATGAACTTACTGGACAAGCACACAGAACAGACATAGCCAATTTCAATAAGATTTCGATGACAGAAGCAAGCAGCCCGATAGTCAACGTGAATTGGGGGTGGGAGGATTAACTGAGATCTCTGATCTTGATCGGGAAGAAAAACCCACTGTGAAAGAAAAAAGACAAGGAAATTTTATTGTGGGGAAAAATAACCAGAAACTAAGACATAGATCTCAGATATCAGCCACTAAGGGGAATATGAAATTAGGATTTTCCTCAAGTCTATGTAGAGATGCATTTTTATTCATTCATGGATTATTAAGCACCTCCACACAGAGGTGCTATGGTATAAAAAGTCATACAACATTCTGCATGCAGCTCACAGGGTTCAAAGGCTACCTGTAGCCCACCCTTCTCAGCTCTGAGACCTCTAGTCACCCATTTATTCCTTTCTTCCAATCCCCAGCATCAGTCATCTTGCTTCCATTCATTCCCAGGAAAATGGGTCTCTCTGGGCTCCAGGGGTTAGGGTCACTGTAGGCACTTCCTCACCAGCAAATACTGCAGGAGGGATGGCATCTGAGGAACCTTCAGGTACAGCCCCCCTGTGATGTCACAAGCCTGCAAGACACACAGAGGGCTCTGTGCAAAACGGCACTCACCTAGCTTGTCTAGTGACGTAATTCTCACCAGCAGGTCTTCAGGTCTCCAAAAGGAGGGGAGGACATGACACAACAAATTAAAAGGGAGTGTTTTCCTATAGTGAGTGAGGACATGAAACTTCCAGCTACTCTCAAGATGTTCAAGTATCTTACTTGACCCCTTGGCTCACACACATTCATCCTCCGAAGACTGCAGTGTTGGACCTTTTCTCCTGTTTGTTTACTATTCTTGCCATTTATACACTTTCACTGTATTTTTTAATAATAGCTTCAAGATATAATTCACATGCCATAACTCCCCTTTTAAAGTTCAGTGGTTTTTAATATATTCAGTTGTGAAACTAATCACCTCCAGCTCCAGAAGTTTCATCACCCCAAAAAGAAACCCCATACCCCACTGTCAGTCACTTCCCATCCCCCATCTCACCTCCAGCCCCTGACAACCCCTGATCTACTTCCTGTCTCTATAGATTTGCCTGTTCCAAGGTATTTTATATAAGTGGACTCATACACTATGTGGTCTTTTGTGCCTAGCATCTTTCACTCAGCATGTTTTCAAGGTGAATCTTCATTGTGGTGTATGTCAGTGCTTCGTTCCTTTTTAGGACCAAGCAACATTCTACTGTATGATTAAATCACAATTTGTTTATCTATTTATCTGTTGATGAGACACTTGGGTTCAAGTGGGGAAGACAGAGTAAATCAGGTAAGTAAATGCAGAAATGTTACAGGTCACGATGATACTTTCCATGAAGAAAAATGAAGATAGGTAAGAGGACACTGGATGGTCAGGGAAGGCTTCTCTGAGGAGGTAACACAGAAGCAGAGAGCCAGATGAAGGAAGGGAGTGAGCCACACAAACATCTGAGGAAAGAGCCTTAGAAGCTGTGAGAACAGCAAGTGCGGGCAACCTTAGGCCACAGTGGGCCTGGATTTTAAAGCAATAGTAAGACCAATGTGATAAGTAAAGAGGGAGGAAGTCACGGTGACAAAGAGTGTCCAGAAACCGTTATCATGTAGGGGTCCAGGCGGCCATGCAAGACTCTGGGCATCAGTCTCCGTGTGATGGGCCATGGGAGGTTTTAAGCAATTGAGCGACACCTTCAGAAAGCTTCATTCTGACTGCTGTGTTGAGAACCACCTTTGGCAGATGGGGTAAGCATGGAAACAAATCAGTTAACAGGCTATTGCAATCGCGCACTTGTAGCAACAGAGAAGATGTGGTGAGATTCAGGATGTATTTTGAAGATAAAAATAACAGGACTTGCTAGTCGGTCTGAAAGGAGAGGAAGAGAAGAAACAAGTCAGGTTTTTGGCCTGAGCTGCTGATGGATGGTGCTGCCCCTACTGACTGGGCCGTCCAGGGAGGCACAGGCAGCGTGGGGAACTGAGTTCTGCTTTGCACCTGTTAAACTTGAGGTGCCTGCTAGATGTCCAAGGGGAGATCCTACAGAAGGAGCTGCATGTGCAAGTCTGGAACTGAGAGGAATGTGAGGGACTGGCCTAGTCATGGAGATGTGGGGTCCAGAGGCAGGGCTGCTAGTAAAGTCATGGCACAGGTAAGGTCTTCTGAGAGTCAGTAGACACCATGCAGATGGAAGTATCCAGCCTCCCTGATTTATTAAAAAACTGAAATAGAACCATATGTGCAAGAATGTATATACATAACATGTACATATAGTTTAAATAATAAAGCAAACACCATGTTCCTACCATCGAACTCAAGATATGGAACAATTCCAGGAGCTCTGGAGCTGATGTACTTACCAGATGTATCTCCCTTCTTACTCCTCATGCCCAGCAGTAACCTCAACTCATGGTTTTCCAGTTTTGTGCTTTTACCTGATCTTTTAAAAAATATTACTTCTTGTGGTCAAAAAAAAATCAAAACTTCAGATATTTCTTTAGCCTAACTTCCTTTCTCTCCCCTTTTTGGTTGAATTATAGCTTCCTGTGTTTGCTTAAAAAGCAACAAGAGTGCTGCCCAACAGAAACACAATGCAAGCACTGTATGTAATTTAAAATTTTCTAGTCACATAAAAGAGGAAAAAGATAAAATTAACTTTAATAGCACATTTTACTTAACTCAATATATCCAAAGTATTATCATTTTATCATGTAATCAATATAAAAATTAACAAGATATTTTACATTCTATCCTTTATACTAAATCTGTGAAATTCAGTGCGTAAACACTTATGGCACATCTCAATTCAGACCAGACTCCTTTCAAGAGCTCAGTAGCCATATGGATCCCATACAGGACAGCACAGATCTGGAGTATGTTCTTATATTTATAAAATTCTCAGCTTAGTTTCTATTCTTCTATCTGTATGTATATAGAGAGATCTGTCATTTTCTTCACCGAATATTAACGATGATAGTTTTTGGATGAAAGGATTTGAAGGGTTTTTTTATACTTTTTAAAAATATCTGTGTTGCTTGAATGCACTTTAAGGCATGAATCACTTTTAAAAAGTCAATTAAGTTGTTAATTAAAATATAAATAAATGTTTCAAAGGGCCCAGAGGGATGTTAGTTCTCTAATCTATAGCATCATACAGGCTAATCCATAAAAATCCATGAAAATTAGTGAAAGGCATTTAACACTAGGTAACAGAACACACCATGCTTCCACAGTCACCAATACCACTCATTTGTTTAAAACATACCTGCTGCAGGAGTCCTGAATCAGAGTCTAAAACACAGGCATCAATCAAAATATTCTGAAATGAACATTCCAAAAATATTATAGGAATAATAACAATAATGACTATCTGATACAGAGAAACTACTATTTGTCAACCTCTATTTTATATACACAGTAACTCTATAAGGTAGATATTTGATTTGCATTTTACATCTGAAGCACCCAGGCTTGGCCAGTGCTGTCACCCCCAGTCTGCCTGTCCCCAAAGCCCCTAGTCTTTTCATTACATCATGTTACTACTGCAAAAGGGAGAATATTATGCATGGCTATGGCAGCATTTTAGGTTAACACTGAAGTTTTAAGAAAGTTTTTTTTTTAAACGTATCAACAAAGAAAATATATTCGTGATATTCATCTGGACATTTCAGTTATCTGCAGAGTAAAAATTTCAAATCTTTATAAGACCTCCTTTAAAGGAAAGAGACAGAAATTGAGGCAAGGCATGCAGCATGCTGTAAAACCAGGAATTCTTAGCTAGGGGTCTAAGAATAGCATAAAATGGGTTACACAAATACCAGGAAACTACAGGCAAAAACTGTATATAAGTGCACATTTTTCCGGTGAGCCATCAGATTTTCATGGGGTCCTGGACCCAAAATAAAGAAATGACTAGTACAAAATACAGAATCCAGGTTCCTAACCCATTAATATGGCCATTTAATCAGAATACCTCTCAAGTAGGCCATTCAGAAAATAAAATTCCTTCGCTATGAATCAAATGTTCTTTAAAAAGAATGCTCTCAATTCACCTGTTTCTGTGCTGCGAAGATGACATTCATGAAGTTCATATACTGCAATGCACTGTCTTCTGCAGCCTTAATTACCTAAAAACCAAATATATTAATAACTTGCAGGCTCAGCCTAGTGCTCTCAGATGTCACAATACACTGCAAACTACAACCACTACTGATTTTTCTAATTCATCTTCCTAGTTATCATTATTACATAATACCTAGTCATCTGTAAGTGTAGAGGTGACTGCAAAAACTTCCCCCAAATCCTACCACTCAAGAGATAATCCTTGTTAACAGTTTCTAGAGAGCACCTGTGTGAGCATGTATATACACTCACACCCAAAGCACACAACACACATGCATCAGGATGATACTCTATCTAGTGTCCTGGCACCTGTTTTCAGTCAATAGTATTGGGGGTTGGATGAATCTTGCGTCAATGAATTTGGATGTATATCATCCTTCATGCTGACTTCATAGATTTCCACTAGGTAACCAATTACCTATAGAGGACATTTAAGCAGTTTCCAATCTTCAGTTTTAGACAATGCTCTGATGAACACCTCATGTACCTTTTGCACAACTCTCTGATTAGCTCCCAGGATAATCGGTGAGACTGCTAAAGTATATGCACATTTAATCCTGATACAGGTTACCAAACTGCCCTCCAGATAAGTGGTACCAATTCAATTCATCCTCCTACGGTGATGCAAGAGAAGAACCAATCCCCAACACTACCATCAACCCCAGGAACTGCCAGGTTTCTCATCTGTGCTGAGCAAGAAGCAAACAATGAAATTCCCATGACTTGATGTCTATATTTCTTTGCTTATTAGTAAGGCTGACTGTATTTTCAAATGCTAACTGGTTATTTACATTTCTTCTTTTGCAGATTGCTAGTGCCTTCTACCTGTTTCTTTAGACTAAACCTTGACTTTAAAAAGTTAATTTATAAGAGTTCTTTTTTACTTTACAGCTATTACCTTAATCCTCTGTGAGGTATAGCTATGCTGAAAATACTTTTCCTAATAGTTTTTCTTTCATCCTTTTTTGGGGAGTTTATTTGTTTGTTTGTTTGTTTGTTTGTTTTGGGGGGACTTTATATTTTTGAGTTTTCACATTATGCTTAGCAAGGTACTCACCAACCCAAGACCACAAACAGGGATTTTCTTCTAATGCTTCTATGACTTGAATTTTAACATTGAATATTTGATCATTACTAGAATTATTTAAGTGTAGGCAGTGAGATCTAGCTCTGTTTTTCCACAAATGGCCAAGCGCCCCTTACTGAACAATCCATTTCCTTCTCCCTAATTTGAAGTGCTTCCTGTACCACAAGTCAAACTCATGTGTACCTGCTTTTATTTCTGCACTCTGGTTTTTTCCATTTTCTGTTTGCCTACCACTGTACTAATACCACACCATCACTGTAGATTTGTAATGTGTTTTAATGCCTGGTGGAGCAAGTTCCTGCCTAACACTCTTTCAGAAAGCTCCTGGCTACCTCACTGATTTATTCTTCCAGATAAACTAATGAGTTTCTTTTTAATTCCCCCCACCTTACCAGGTAAAAAAAAGTCTCGTTGACATTCTGATACTGCACTGAATCTACAAGTTTAATTTTGGGAAAATTGACATCTAAGAATAAAATATGGCTCTCCATTTATACAAGTCTCTTACGTCTCTCAGAATTTTAGTTTTTCATCCTAATCAGTTTTATACATTGTTATTTAATTCTAGATACTTTATATATTGCTTCCATTGTAAATGGTCTTATGTCCTATTATCTTTTCTAATTGGCTATGGCTGGTATATAAACATAGTACTGATTTTTTTTAATCTTACCAATATCCTTGATTTCATTTCCTGATTATCTATAAAAAAGATGAAGAGATTACAAGTTAACTACATGTTATAAGGTTTTCTAACAAGTTTTTAAATAGTCTACCCAAGTTACAGTAGTAAAGTAAGGATTAGTTTCTCATAAAAAAGTAGGTTCCTACCTTTAACCTCCTTGTTCATTCGATGAATGTCTTATTTTCTTAGGATTAAGGAATTTAAAAAAAGTATTCAACTTCATAAACATGCAAACAGAAAAATGACCTCAAGTTTTAAATAAATTCAGCATCAACCTAGCTGAGAAGAGGAAATGCTCTATTTTCCATGATAAACACACAAAAAAAGAGTATTTGGAATATTTCTAAATACCAGTATTTTGGCAGTCTCTTGAATGAAAATCAACTGGGCTTTGAAACCTGACAAAAATATTATTTTTGTCCCAGAAAATTAAAATTACAAGATCTGATTTTGCTATGACTACCCACCACATCCTAGATTTGAATACTGGGACCACAAGTAAAATAATAAACCAATCAAATGAAATAAGGAATTTGAAAACCACATACAGATGATCAGGCATACCCAATCAGTCCAGGAAAGAAGAATCACTCAATACTGTCCAAACAAACCAATTAAAAGATATAAGACTGGGAGAGCATCACACAAAACAAGTAACGTCAAATGCTTAGGAAGGTAGTTGACACTATGCTAAGTAAAAATAACCCGTTGGCCTGGGAAAGACACTCATTTATTAAGCCTCAAGTGAGCAAATGGATTTTATAATCAAACACTACTCCCAAGGAAGATGAAAACACAAACAAACAAAAGAAATTCCCCAAAACATCAAAATAAGAAACAAGGAAATCACCTGAAGAATTCATTGTTCTGGCAGTAGATGAATGGATAAAGAAGATGTGGTACATATACACAATAGAATATTATTCAGCCATAAGAAGAAAACAAATCCTACCATTTGCAACAACATGGAGCTAAAGAGTATCATGCTCAGTGAAATAAGCCAGGCGGAAAAAGACAAGTATCAAATGATTTTCACACAAAGAAAAAAACTGAAGGAACAAAACAGCAGCAGACTCACAGAACCCACGAATGGACTAACAGTTACCAAAGGGAAAGGGACTGGGGAGGATGGGTGGGAAGGGAGGGACAAGGGGGAAAAGGGGGCATTATGATTAGCAGACATAATATAGGCAAGGGCTGCACAACACAGAGAAGACAAGTAGTGATTCTATAGCATCTTACTACGCTGATGGACAGTGACTGTAATGGGGTATGTGGGGGGGACTTGGTGATGGGGGGAGTCTAGTAACCATAATGTTGCTCATTTCATTGTAAATTAATTATATAAAAAAAAAAAAAGGATTCGTTGTGAGCAGAGGAACATACTAGAGAAATCAGTGTTCTCATTCTTCACATTTAAAGTTTTTATACCTAATCTTAAAAAATTCCAAAGCCTAGGTAAACTATATTTTGATTACCCACCATTTTAGAACACTCATGCCTTCCATTAAAACCACCGAAGGTTCTAATAAATATCACAAGGTAAGATAGATCTAATACAGGAGATACCTGCTGAATGACTGAAACACCAAGGATACAGCAAAGAGTTTTGGCGAGGGATCCTGCTAGCAGAGTTTCTGTATGTTGACCCTTTATGTCACCTGCAAATAAAAAAAAACATTAAAACAGAAACTTTTGATATTTTCTTGAACTAAAATCATTTTCAAACCAAAGCATTCTTCATGAATGAAATCAGATGACATTTTCAAGCTGGGTTTAAAAACAGACAGGAATTTGTTTTCAGTAATGCTTAACTAAGCAATTTTTAAACATTTTCTCAGTTTAAAATACTTTGGTGGTCAGGGACTGAGGTGAAGAATGGGGAGTTGTTAAATGGGTAAAAAATTTCAGTCTGACACAATGAAAAAGTTCTAGAAATGGACAGTGGTGTTTGTACAATTTCAATGTACTGAATGCCACTGCACTGTACACTTAAAAAGAGTTAAAGTGGTAAGCCTTATGTATGTATATTTTACCACAATAAAAAATAAATTAAAAACATCCTAGTGTTACAGTGTTATTTGGAAAGGTTTGGGTTTATCAATGATCAAAGTAGTATCCAAGGTCATGGTTACCTGCAGGCAGCCTGGACAGTGGCCCCTGGCCAAGCTCTACTCCTCCCTGTCCTCTTTTCCCCTCCTGCTCCTCCCCATTGCCCCTCAAAGAGCTTCCCCACCAGTGAAAAGAGAATGGAGACATTCCTCTGGCCATAGCAGCAGGCACAAAGTTTGCAACTTGTTTGGAGCTTTGGGTAAAAAAAAAAACAATCTTAAGATAATCAAAATCCTAAACTTGCAGCTCAAGAATGTGGGAAGCCCAAACTGACAGCCTGTAAGAACGGCCTGAAGCTGCTCTTGGAGCATGGGGTGAGGTCAGAACAGGAAAGGTCTTGAACACTCTACTGAGAAGTTGGGACTTTATCCTGGAGGCCAGTAATTCTCAAAGTGTGATTCTGAAACCAGCTATAGGAGCATCACCTGGGAAATTAATAGAAACTCAAATTCCTGGGACCTCCTAGGCCCCCTGCATCAGCAACTGCGCATGCCCAGTGTTTTGTCCTAACAAGCCTTCCGGGTGATTTTTAATAAGTTTCTTGTATAATTTACAGATCATAAAACTCACTCTTATTTTAAGTGCATAATTCAATGATTTTCAGTAAATTTATAGAGTTGTACACCATGACCACAAGCCAACTTCATAACATTTGCTTCAGCCCTAAAGATCACTTGGTCCCACTTCCAGTCACTCCCTGCTCCTTCCCCAGCCCCTAGAAACCACTCAACTATTTTCTGTCTTTAAAGAGTTGCCACTTCCCTCAGACAAAGGCTACAGTTTGAAAAACCACAGCCTGCAGGCAACAGGGAACCAGTGAAGACCTTTAAGCCAGGGAATAACATCTCTAACTTCTGATGCTAACTCTGAGTGGAAAGGGAGAGACAGGAATCAGCAGAAGGTACTGTTAGGCAGAAAAACGGGTATGAGTGGGTGGAGAGAAGATAATACCAGTGGAGCCCACAAAAAGGTACTCAGAGAATTAACCAGGTAAAACCAGAGAGCCACAAAGGACTCACAGAGTTAATGAGTTAATTACTTGAAGTTCAAAAGGCCAGGAGCAGCTTGGAATGTCTGGATATTCCTTAGATAAAGAAGAGTATCCTAGCTCAGCCCATGTCTTCATTGTACCAGTTAGATCCTGCCACTGTAAAATCTACTTCGCCTGCAAAAGGCCCAGCTTATTCTTTAACTTAACCTGTATGCTGTTTTTTTCTCTTCTTCCAGCTCCTTAATCAAGTAACTTTGTAACCAGGGTAGGAGACAGCCCTCCAAAGTGTAAATAAACCTATGTGGACAAAGAATGCTGAGATCTGAGCCAACACAGTCACCTAAATAACACTATTCCCAAGACAAAACTTCTAAGAAACTATGAAATCACCTGCACTCATCATGCCTTATGCTGACCCTTAACCAAAATGGCCCTATACAATCCCACATGGAAATCCCTAAGCATGCCTTCCTGAGGTTGTCCACACTCACCTTTCTTCCAGTGTGTCACTTTCTCTGTTCTACTCAAGGTAAGTAGGGAGGGGCTGCTGAGAACTCTGATTTGAGCTTGCAAGTTCCTGTCACCTGAGTGACCTGGACAGAACTGCAGCCATTGGATCATGCTCCTTAGTAGCCTGTCTGAAAATCTCTTCTTTGCCTTTGAGAAATTCTCAGAACATAATCTCACTCCATCGAGTGCTCTATGGCTCCCCTAAATCCTGGGGTGATAGGGACTTAGTTCCCATGCCATGCAGATTCAAGTGGACACTGGACACCAGGTGACCCTGGCTTTAGGAGTTGGCAAGGGATTTCCTCCATGCCAAGCAGGAATTCAGTAAGTGTCCCTTTCCTCCGTCTTGTTTTTCCTTCCTTTGCTTTATCCAAGCAAACCTGCCTTTGTCCACCTTCACTCTGGCCCGCTCCTCCCTTGGAGTGTATTCAAATAAAACTTTCACATTGTTTCACTACTGTGTCTCTGCCCTTCAACTGGTGCAGTGGGGACAAGAACTAAGGAGAATAACTCAACCCCCAACACTACTACAACAATCTAGAGCAGGGCTCTCAACCTGGGCAACTGTGCCCTACAGGGGGCATTTGGCAAGGTCTGAAGAATTGTTTGGTTGTCCCAACCAGGGGGTATGACAGCATGTGGTGGGTCAAGGCCAAGGATGCTGCCAAGCATCCTCCAGTGGGGGACGACCCCTGCAACAAAGAATCATCAAGCCCCAATGTCAACAGGCCAGGGCTGAGCCAGGCAACAGATAACAAGAGGCAATATTTAGGAGGTACTTCTGAGGCTAAACTAATAGGATTTCATAGCTGATTAGATATGGGATATGAGAAGAAAGAAGTAAAAAATGAAAGCTTTGAATCTGGAAAAGCAGGTGGATAGGAAATCGGGAATGCCAGAGGTGATGTAACTGAGGGAAAAAGACAATGAAACCAGTCTGGACCTCTCAGCTGGATGGTGGGACACTTCAGCTGAGGTGTCTGCCAAAAGAAAGACAGGGCTAGAGACAAAGACTGGGAGGTGCTCATACAGAAATGGTTATTAAAGATAAGAATGGGTGAGATCACACAGAGGAAGAAAAAATAAGAAAATAACATACAGAATATATACACATATGCTTGTTTAAGGTACAAGATCAAGGAAAAATCAGAAATGGTCCAAAAGAGAGGGAACACAGGTCAACAGACATCCTTAGAGGCCAGAGTGTGTTTCAGGAAGTAGAAGCCTATGGACAGTGTCAGAGGCTGGAGAGGGCAGCCAAACACCCACAGGTGTTAAGGAGGGTAATTTTTACAACAGAAAAGAGACAGAGTTCCAGGAGATAGTATCAAGGACCTCAAATTTTTGGACTAAAAGCCTCAAGGACCTCCACATTCAGTTCCATTTACAAGTAACCATCACGGGAGGGGCAGGGGGAAAGTTCTTACTTTTGGTCATTAGATCTTTAATCTCTTCAACAATGACTTCATTTGCTGCTGTTAACAACTCATATTTTCCATCTTTACTCCCCGAGGGATTAAATTCAGAAGTGTTGCCATCATCTCCGAAGTCCCCGAGTCTGCCATTCTTCCGAGGATATAAGAATCGACTGAAACAGTGGAAAAAACAAAACCTAGCTATACCAGGACTGGGTGCCTTCACTAGTCAGCAAAATGAAATGCGGCAGAGGAAATGAAAACCACACCAATTCTGGCTCACAAGATTCTATAAGTTTAATTTTTAAAAATAGTAAATAACAGGCAAATTGGTGAATATGAGTCTACCACAACAGAATGTTTTCATGATTCCATCATTTTCTGAAAAATGAGAGGAAATAAAGAGGGCATTGGGGTATAGTCCAGAAACACTTCAGGGCGGTTTCTCACTCCTTTCTCACATGACGACTGACAGGGATTCATGGCAAATTCTAACTTACTACAAGGTTATTATTTGAGGTATATTTATCTACCCCCGTAATAAAAATCTGGTCTGTGGGTCCCTGAAAAGAGTCTCCTAGTGCTTCATGACTTTTATAGAAATGACATAAAATGTATTTTTTATTTTCCTTGTAAATGAAAACTTTGCCTGCTTTTATTGATATATTAACCAAATCTGCATCATCTTCTTCATTCAATTCTGAGAATTGTGCTGTGATGATGCGGCGAGCACTGCACTGGAGGCCCATGGGCTCCTCTGACACACCAAAGGAAGCAGCCCTAAGAACCAAAAAGATTTGAGAACTACCTCTACCTCACATCAAATATGCTGGTAAACAAGCGTCACTTCGACTGTGATGTGACATTTCAATAAGATGTGGAAGACTTGTATCTTATACAGCCAGATTAGTTGGCTAGGGTTCAGGAGCCAATATTACAAGAAAAATCTATAATTGTGAACACCAGAATCATACACAGAGCAGTGGAATAGTCACACCATGAGAAGGACACAGGAGTCCAGGCTGATTGAAGGCAAAGCAGAATCACACCCCCCATTTCACCTACTCTGCAGCAGACCCACCAGGGGTGCAGTGATGGGGGCTGCTTACCCAATTTCATAACTTACTTTCCTTTTCACCTAGAGAATATAACAGGATCCATGTAAGTTAAATGTGCACATGATACAACTCCATTAGATATCAGCTAATGAGGTTTTAAATACTCATATTATCTAACTGTACATATACTGATCACTCGAGTATTTTTCACTGGTACAGAAAAAATTTTTTTGTAACAGAGTAGGAATGGTACATATAACTGGCATAAAAACCTCACAAATGTTAAACATTGACTAGGTAGAGCAATGGGAATGGTCACACCTTTCTTGAATGTGACTCGCTATCACAGCAAGTTTGTTGGATCGATTCATGAATAAATGAGAATTTCCCAGGACCATCACAGCATCTACGCATTTTGATAAAGTAAACTGTTGAAAAACAGAAAACATTAGAAAAGGTAAATTAGTTATCCAAATAACAAAGCCAGGTCTTGAAAAGGTTAAATCTAAATTTTATACAGTTACTCACTGCCAAAAATTTGCCCAGGAGCTCCCTCCACCAAAGTGATAAGCAAAAACATTTGAAAAATGCAGGTTTCTAATTTTACTTATATGACATCAATCTATATCAGTACAATATTCTACAAATATTTTCTGCATAACATTTAAGGAATAGCAAACATGTCACATCTTCTGTGATAAAATACTCGCAGACCATTGCTACACATGGAGTAGATAATTAATACATACTGACTAAGTTAGTTATTTGTGAGTTTTCAATCCATGCATTCACTAAGTATGCTGAGCACCTGTTATGTGCCAGGTAAAACTAGGCCTTCTTTCATGGCACTTACATTCTCACAAGTTCTAATATTACTAAAAAACATCGGTGGATATTTTTAGAATCTTGGAATAAGGCATGTTTCTCTTAAAGGAAGAAATACTTCAGGCAGGAAGTAAAATGTTGATAAATTTCACTGTATTAAAAAAGTATAAAACAAACCTATTAGAATTTCTATGTAGCAAAAAAATGACTATGAAAATACAAGGCAAATTACAAACAGAAAAATAATAACTACAACATACAACAGGCAATGGGTTAACTTTTTAATACAAAGAGTGTCCACAAAGCATTAAAAAAAACACCCCAAGAGAAAGGAAAGGAAAGGGTATCAGGTTTGTTGGGACTCCTGCCCTCTGCAGAAGGCTTGGGTTCTGGGGTATCCTGGAGGAGGCCTGAGGGGAGTAGAGTCAGCATTGGTAGTCTGCATTTGTGGAGTAGATTTCACTCTCCTGGAGAAGGCCTGGATTTAGGGAACTTTGGGCCATTTATCCTGCCATTTGCAGAATAGGTCTAATTGCAGGATGGTGTTACAAATTTAGGTTCCCTTCTGGGGGCCAAGTTTCCCCACTGGGGAGTTTGTACTGGGGCTAAGCTGTTGTGCAGAAGAATGTGAGCCTTGACTTCCTCTGGGTCTGGGGGTCGAAGCATTCCCAGTTTTGGAGGATGCAAGGTTTTGGCAGTAGCTACAGATGTCAGGGTAAAGGTGGAAGAAGGGAAGAGAAGCAGCTCTCAGCTGAACTCCTAGAGTCAGCAAAAGGCATGAAGCGACTGTTCTGGCCAGGCTAGTCTCCCGGAGATCCAAGAGACTCCTTAGGGACAAAAAGAAGGGGTCTAAGTCAAGATCTGGACCTGGAGAGAGCACTAAATTGGTTAGGAATGATCACCTTTGGTTGCCTAACAGGCTAAGGCAGCATGAGAAAAACTGTTGTGCCAGGGAAGAGGTTTTGGCCATAGGTTATGCTGCTCGGGTAAGTTTCCTGCTAGGCCCCATAGGTGGTTAGCAATGGGAGGTCAGAGCTAAGTCAGACCTGCACATCCCATCAAAGTCTCTGTTCCCCTCTAAATGGAAAATAGAGCGAATAGAGCAGGCAGGATTATGGAAAGCATTCTGAGCATGAAAGGGACAAAGGGTCATAATCAAGGCAAGTGAGAAGGCTCTTAAATCCCGCAGGGAGCCGACGGTGAAGAAGAGAGTAAAGGGAGAAATCTCCTGGCTGCCGCTCTGGATGACATTCTCAAGGACCCAAACGTGACCCACCTCCTAGGGAGGGCTTCCCTGCAAGGCGAGCAAAGCAGGTACTGCCTCTGGCTGGGTCACTGAACATCTCACGGCCAAGGGGATCATGACATGAGGGTCTCTGGGGGATTGCCCCAATTAGCTGACTGGCAGATAACACAAAACGTGTGGACAAAGGGAAGAAAAGAAATGGAGGGAGTAGGAGAAATCTGAGAACGCAAAAAAGGAAGTCTCTGCATGGACATATTAAACACTGCTTGGGGATTTGCTGCGGGTGCTTTTATGGTGGGCCTTTGTTGCACAGAGATTGCCTTGCAGTCAGCAGGGTGCCTAAAGCAATCTTCCCAGGCCTACAACTGACTTACCCTTTCTCTAGTGAGCTCCCTGTTGGCCTTTACTGCTTGATCTGCACCCAAAGTGCAGCTATTTTTGGTACATAAAAGATAGAGAAGGAAGGGAAGGATCCTCAGAGAAGAGGTAGATAGTGAGTGAGTGCCTCCAGCCAGTGGGCAGGGCACATGCAGCTTACCAGGACTGGCTATCCGAGTCAGGTACCAAATATGTTGGATGTTGAATTTATTCTCATTTCTTGACCTGCCGCAATAAAGAACTGAAGGGCAGAGACACAATAGTGAAGCAGAGTTAAGGTTCTATTTGAATACACTCCAAGGGAGGAGTGGGCCAGAGTCAAGGTAGACAAAGGCAGGTTTACTCAAAGAAGAAAGGAAAAACAGAGGCAGGAAAGGGACGCTTATTGAACTCCTGCTCGGCATAGGGCAAATCCTCTGTCAACTCCTAAAGCCAGGTCACCCGGCATCCAGTGTCCACTTGAATCTGCATGGCATCAGAACTAAGACCCTACCACCCCAGGATTTAGGGGAGCCACAGAGCATTGGATGAAATAAGATTGTATTCTGAGAACTTCCCAAAGGCAAAGAAAGGAGATTTTCAGACAGGCTACTAAGAAGCATGATCATACAGCTGCAGTTCTGTCTGGGTCACCCATGTGATGGGAACTTGCAAGCTCAAATCAAAGCTCTCAGCAGCCCCTCCCTACTTACCTACTTACTGGAATAGAACAGAAAGAGTGACACACTGGAAGAAAGGCGAGTGTGGGCAACCTCAAAGAGGCAAGCTTAGGGATTTAGGTGTGGGTTTTATAGGGCATTTTTGGGTAAGGGTCAACATAAGGCATAATGTATACAGGTGATTTATAATTCCTTTTAAGTTTTGTCTTGAGAATAGTGTTATTTAGGTGACTGTGTTGGCTCAGATCTCAGCCTTCTTTGTCCACATAGGTTTATTTACACTTTGGAGGGCTGTCTCCTACCCTGGTTACAAAGTTACTTGATTAAGGGGCTGGAAGAAGAGAAAAAAACAGCATACAGGTTAAGTTAAAGAATAAGCTGGACCTTTTGCAGGCAAAGTAGATTTTATAGTGGCAGGATCTAACTGGTACAATGAAGACATGGGCTGTGTTGGGATACTTTTCGTTATCTAAGGAATATCCAGACATTCCAAGCTGTTCCTGGCCTTTTGAACTTCAAGTAATTAACTCATTAACTCTGTGAGTCCTTTGTGGCTCTCTGGTTTTACCTGGTTAATTCTTTGAGTCCCTTTTAGTGGGCTTTACAGGCTTTATTCTCCTTCTACCCGCTCATGTCTATTTTTCTGCCTAACACTACTATATCCATACAATGGATTCACTAATAAAAAGAAATGAACTACTGATATATGCAACAACATGGACAAATCTCAAAATAATGATGCTGAGTAACAAAACCAGGCCCCCTCTCCTTTCCCCAAAAAACCCACTATATGCTATTTTATTCCATTTATGTAAAAATCTAGAAATTGTAAACTCATCTCTAGTGACAGAAAGTGGACCAGTGGTTGCCTGGGGATGGAGACAGATAGGTGGGTGGGATAAATTACAAAGCAACATGAAACACTTTTGGGGGTGATAATTCCCAATTCATTATTTTGATTTTGGTGATAATTTCATGAATGTATACATACATGAAAACATATCAAATTGAATACTTTAAAATTGTGCAGTTCATAGTATGTCAATTATATCTTGATAAAGCCGTTTAAAAAAAAGACACCATTAAAAAAATGAAAAGACAATCCATATCATCCTGGAGTAGGAGAAAATATTTATAAATCATGTATTTGATAAATGACTTATATTCCAGAATATATAAAGAATTCTTACAACTCAATAACAAGAAAACAAATAGTCCAACTTAAAAATTGGGCATTAACATCTGAATATGCATTTCACCAAAAAAAATATAAGAATGGCTAATAAGCATATGAAAAAGACTCATCATCACTGGTCATCAGGGATATGCAAATTAAAATCACAATGGGATACTACTATCTACTCACTAGAATGACTATAATCAAAAACAAAGACAAGTGCTGGCAAGTATCTGAAGAAACTGGAACTTCCATACATTGCTGATGGGAATGGAAAATGGTATACCCATTTTCAAGTAGTTTGCAGCATCTTAAAAAGTTAAATCTAAATTAACCAAATCTAAACTTACCCTCAATTCAACTTTAAAAATCTATCTACTCATGAGAAATGCAAACATATGTTCATACAAAGACTTCTTTGTGAATTATCAGCATTATTTATAATAGCCAAAAAGTGGAAACACACCAAATGTCCATGAATAAACAAGAGGCATATCCATACAATAAACTACTGCTCAGTAATAAAAAGGAGCTACATGCTACAATGTGATGAACCTCAAAACATTATACTAAGATAAAAAGCCAAAATCAAGACTACATATTACCAAAACTCACCTAATTTAAAAAAGATCATTCCAATAGTTTAATAACTATTAAAGAAATTTAATTCATAGTTTTAACAAACTATGGTATATCATACCATGAAATACTACTCAGGAATAAAAAGGACAAACTTTCATACAGGAAACAACTTGGATGATTGGGGGATTCTACTGAGTGAAAAAAAGTCAAACTCAAAGGTTCTGTACAGTAACATAACAAAATCTATTTATACAACACAAAACAGAGATGGAGAACAGATTAATAATTAGTAATATCCTAAGGGTTAGAGATAGGAACTATAATGATGTAGCATTAATGAGTACAGGGTGCTCCTGTGTGTGATGGGGCAGTTCTGTACCTTGATTGTGGTTGTGGTTACACCAATCTATATATGGGATAAGACAGCACAGAACTACATAGACACATGCACGCACGCACACACAGATGTAAAACTGCTGTTATCTGAATAAGGTCTGTAGATGGTACTGATGTCAATTTCCTGATTTTGATACTGTACTATACTTACGTAAGATGTTACCACTGGGGGAAGCCAGGCAAGGGCACACAGGACCTCTCTGTTCCATTTTTTACAATTTCCTGTGAGTCTATAATTATTTCAAAATGTACTTCTTCAAAATAGAAAGTTTTTTTTAAAGCCAACATATGGCACAGAATCAACATATGAAAATGTCCAGAAAAGAAAAACACAGAGACAGAAAGCAGGTCAGTGGTTACCTGTAGTTAGGGGGTAGAAGCAACGACTGACTGAAAGGTTTGGCACGAGGGAACTTTTGGGGTAACAGAAATGTTTTAAAACAGAATTTTGGTGATGGTTACACAACTTAATCGTGATTTTACTAAAAAGCCATTGAATTGTACATGATAATGGATGAATTTTATGGCATGTAAATTTTATTTTAATAAAGTTGTTTTTTTTAAAAGCAATAAACATATACTCATTTAAACCACAACTCTCCAGAAGTCGTCCAAAATTATCCGAAAGTCCACCAAAATGATCCAAAAGCAGTCTTACCTGAGATTCCTTCAATGCTTGCTTTCCCCACCAAATTGGGTTCGTATCAACTATGATAACTAGAAGATTCAATTCATCTTCTGCAAATATTAACAAAAAATAAAATAAAAAACATTAGCTAGCATTCTCAGTCTGTAAATTAAATCCAGAGCAAGAACCACTATATACCTTTGCATGTTTATCACCCTGCAATCATGAGATTAACAGAAAGCCAACTTCTTTTAAAGATTTAAAGCTCCATGGGCCCTTAGCAAGCTCTTGCCTGATTTCTGCACCACTACATCTTTTTTTTTTTTGTATCATTAATGTAGAATTACATGAGCAACATTACGGTTACTAGACTCCCTCCATTATCAAGTTCCCACCACATACCCCATTACAGTCACTGTCCATCAGCATAGTAAGATGCTACAGAATCACTTCCCTGTGCCCCCCACCTATATTATTTGTGCTAATCGTAATGCCCCTTTTTCCCCTTATCCCTCCCTTCCCACCCATTCTCCCCAATCCCTTTCACATTTGTAACTGTTAGTCCATTCTTGGGTTCTGTGAGTCTGCTGCTGTTTTGTTCCTTCAGCTTTTTCTTTGTTCTTATACTCCACAGATGAGTGAAATCATTTGATACTTGTCTTTTTCCGCCTGGCTTATTTCACTGAGCGTAATACCCTCTAGCTCCATCCATGTTGTTGCAAATGGTAGGATTTGTTTTCTTCTTATGGCTGAATAATATTCCATTGTACACCACTACATCTTTCATGCACTAGAATATAAGCTCCATGAGGGGATATTTTTGTCTATTTAGTCACTGCTTATATTCTGCTCTGTACATTACTTAGCCTGTGGTGGATGCTTAATAAATACCAAATAAATGAACCTAAAGATGTTTGCATTTTAAATGCCTGGTCAAGGACAGAAGTCACTCATTAACCTGCAGTAAGAATTTCAGGTGGCAGAGTTGGGGGCGGGTGTCCAGGGAATTAAAGGGAGACACAGGTATCACTTAGGCCCTGAGTACATCAAATCACCTAGCAGCAAGACCAATAGTGATTAGGAACCAATTTTAACAAGGTAAAAAACCAAACAAGAAAAAGCAATTGCTATGTAAATATTCTATTGTGAAGAGGAATCAGATTACCCTCCAAAGTGACAGACACAACTAAACAAGCTGATTTTACACATTAACTCATTCAACAAACATTTACACCAAGTACCAGTGTTAGGCACTGAAGATACTGTGGCCAAGCCCTCAGGGAGCCTAGAGTCTGAGGTGACAGACATAAGAACACATTAAGCACACGCTGTTTTGAAAAACCCAGGATACTCAGACAACAGCAAAAAGCAATAATGCCTTTCCTGCCCCCATACCTTCCTTCCTACAGCTACCATCTCCCATGTCAGGATAATCCCACCCCACTTTCAATTTCTGCTTACATATCCAAATCCTACTTACTCTTCAAGGCTCCAAACCAACACTACCTCTTTCTTCCCCAAGATCTTCCACTGGTCCTGGCTCCCTCATCTCTGGAGAGGATGAATGTCAACTTCCTCTGCATCAGGCATGGGCATATGTAAAACTATAATCCCATCCAATACTGTCAATAACCTATTAAGGGGCATATTATTGCTCTTTCATCAACTATAATGTGTATCACCCCAACGTTTTTTCTTTTTTTTTGCATTTAATAGCTATTGAAATCAGGATAGTATCTTACCATTAAGACTGGCAGCATTCTTTTCTCTCAGTGGTATGTTAAATAAAAGCACATTTCATAATCAACAGTCTTAGATAGATGAAATACGATACTCCTATTTTGAAAATGGAAGTAATTTGCTCTACCTCACATGGCCTCCTAGCACGTAGCACAGCCAATGCCTTGCTTTGAATATAGATCTGATTCTCTCTGAAGACTGGCTTTGCAAGGCCTCCACTGCCTGACCCCTTCTGGCCACCCACAGCACTGACCTCTTCCAAGGACACTTAGTATTCACTACCTCATTTTATATTTTATTGTGTTTCTGATCTCTTTTCCCAACTCTGGACACTAAACTGGAGACTCTACTCAAAAAGGAGGATTTTGCTGCTCCTTGAATGAGATAATAGGAGCGAATCACACAGTCAAGTGCCTAGCACAAAAGTACTCAGTAACTATCTTGCACAGGCCCTCACTTCTCTACCCATAAGCCCACAAGCCTCTGGCCTTACACTCCATCATAAGACCTTGCCACACAATTCTCAGGGCAATCTATTCCTTGCTACTACTAAGAAGCCTGAGAAAAAGACAGTGTTGCCTGTCAGAAGAGGGATGTGTCCATACACATGCAACGACCCTGTGAATTTCCTTCTTTGGGTCTCTGCATCCTCATTTGTAAACAGGGGCCATGTCAGGCCTGCATCCCTCACAGGGTTGTGGTACAGATTAAAACAACTAACGGAATTGTTAAGGCCTCTGAAATTATCTCCCTGCTTCTGTTTGGCTCCACACAGTCCATTTTCCACACAGCAGCCAACATGACATTTTAAGATTTCAAATCAGAATGTAACAATGGCTTGCCGAAGACCCTCTATTACACTTAAAATCAAAGCTGAAACTCTTTACGTGGTCCACAAGAGCCACGCATCTGCCTAGCTCTCTGCCTAGGGTCTCATCCCTTTACTTCACTTTGCTTCAGCCGCCCCGGCTGATGTCTTTTTAAGACATCAGACTCAGTAACAGGTAGTTCAATGTATGAGTGTAAGTCTCCCCACCTTCCTCTACCTTCAGGTTCTCCAGATAACATACTGATTTAATCTGCCAGAGTCTTTGCATAGTCCTTCAAGTCTCAGTTTCAGTATCATGGTCTTCCCTGGACTCCTATTTAAAGTAGCTCCATCATCCCCTAATCACAATCTACCGCATTATACTGTCTTGATACTGTCTTTATTAACTCTAGTCACCCTTCGTATTTGCCTATTGTCTGTCTCGCCCACTAGACGGTAACCTCCACGAGGACCCTTATCTATCATGTTCTCTGCTGTACTCCCAGCGCAGGAAAGAACGCCTGGCACACAGGGGCGTTCGCAAAATATGAATGAATGAATGAATGAATACATTCGCTACTCCTCTAACGACCAACTAGGTTCCATCCAGTCCGAAAACTAGACTCCATCTGGCCAGTGTTGGCCAGGCCGAGTCTGCCCAGCCCCCGGCCCGGGTCCCGCCCGGCGCGGCCCTCACCGTCTGAGACCATGGTGGCCCGGGTCCCCAGCGGAGAGCGTGTAGCGATCAGACGAACGTCCGGATTCCGCACACCCCAACTTCCGGCACCGCCACGTGACGCGCAAGGCACTTTGGACAAAGCCGCGTGACGTGCCCCGGCCACGCCCCCGAAGCCCCGGAAGTGGGGTGCGGAATCGCCGCGCGCGCTGTCAGTCTGTGTAGCTCGGAGCCGGCGCAGTTGCGGACTCATCCAAGAAGCGTGGTCGGCTCCCGGCCCCTAGGGCTCCGCTCTCCGCAGGGGACCATGGACGACAAGGGTAAATCGGGACGGGACGCGCTAGGCCTAAACCGCCGCGCAGGGATCCCTCCATTTCGCACGTCCAGGCTGGGCCCAGGAAGGGGTCACTTTCCAAGCTCAGGCTGCTTGGCTGCATGTGCTTCTTCTAGTCATAACTAAATCCCCCTCGCAGCTCCTCTTATCCCGGAGATGGGTCCCGAGGGTATCCCCAGACATACCCTCTCCCCACGCTTTCTAGTGCCTTCCTCCAGAAAAGTGAGACTTCGGACGAAGTGTACAGGTTTGCTGTACTGATTTCTTCATTTGTAAAGTATGGATAGGACCCTCTGCCCTATTGAATCTGGTACTAAAATAAGAAGAGGAAGGCGAATTTGATGTGCACGTCGGATGTGGTTAGCAAGGTATTAATGTGAGATACAAGGGTAAACTAATACATGTAGTACTTTCATGTAAAAAAAAAGTAAGGGGGATACGACCTCTGCGTGCACATACATGTACATGTGTATGTAGGTGATAGGCTTGAATTAGTATAGACCGGAGGGGTGTAGAAGAAATTGGTGTGGTTGACTCTGGGATTCTCTCAGGACTTGGGGTCAACCATAAGAGGGAGAATGATCTTTCACTGTCGTTTGGTGGGGCTTAAATTTTATGCTATTGCTTTTTCAAAGTGAAAGAAAAAAAGCTTACAAAAAGTAAAGTGGTGTCATCTCTATTCTCATCAATGTTTATGGCGCTCCTGAAACCAAACACCCTGAAAACAAAGTATTTTCTAAATTAGTTTGATTCCTAAGGTCAGCAATCATTGACAAGCACTCTGGTCTTACATCCTGCTAAATGAATTTAATGGATCACTTTTTTCTCTCTTTCCAGAGTTAATTGAATACTTTAAGTCTCAGATGAAAGAAGATCCTGACACGGCCTCAGCAGTAGCTGCCATCTGGACTTTGCTGGAGTTCTTGAAGAGAGATAAAGGTAAACAGGGTCATCTTCCAGCACTCTGGGCATTAGGAAAGTCTTCTAATAAGTTTGAGAAGTGTAGAAAGTGGGAGACGTATGGTGCCAGCATAATGTAACAGCCCCAAGCTCAGCTGCTACCTGCATTCAGTCTTCCTCTTAACCTGGAGAGAGCCCTCAAGTTATCATTAAATGGATCCTCTTTAATAAATGAAATATACTTCAAATCAGCACTGACCATTTTATATCAAATTAACCATGAACCTTAAGTTATAGCTTTACAAGTGTTTACTGAGTTTTTGTGCCAGATTCTGTACAGTAGCTATAGAGAATGTTCCAGAATAAATTCTGGTATTAATGTCGTTCATTTTGACCACCTACTAATTCAGGCGTCTTAAATGCCAGCATCTGGGAAGAGCGTGACATCTTGTATAAAGAAAATAATAATAATAATAAAGCCTTTAATCTGAAGGGCTGCCCTAGAGACTTGTATCTCTAAGACAACCTCCAATATACCTACAATAACATCCAGACAGCTAAGCCTTGCCTGTGCCTTCTCAAAGACCTCATCTGCCACCGCTGCTTAATTTCCTTTCATGTGTCCCTCACTGAACTGTGTTTCTGTCACACTGGCCTCTCTTTGTTTTTCATACTTTGTGTTATGTTCTACACCTGGAACCTTTCCCACTGGGTCTTTATGCATCTGGACCCCCCCCCTTCAAGAGGCCACCCTGTTAACTCTACCTAAAAAGTAGCCCCACTTTTTTCATCATTCTCCTTTTTCCTGTCCTCATTACAACGTGTAATTGTTTATTTCTTTGTATACTTGTTTATTTCTTTGTATACTTGTTTATTTGTCTACTTCTTCCACTAGGAAGGGAGTTTCCTCAGAGGAGGGACCCTGTTCATCTTGTTCACTGATGTACTCTGGCATCTAGAATAATGCCTGGCATACAGTACCTACCCGATAAATACTAGTTGAATGAATGAGTGAATCATAGACCTACCAAGGAGCTGTGATACTAAGATGAACATTACATTCCTCGTGTGATCAATCCAGGGGAGACAATCCAGGGCCTGAGAGCGAATCTTACCAGTGCCATAGAAACCCTGTGTGGCGTGGACTCCTCTGTGGCCGTGTCCTCGGGCGGGGAGCTCTTCCTGCGCTTCATCAGCCTTACCTCCCTGGAATACTCTGTAAGCCCATGCACTCCCTTGGGTTACCTTTCTACTTCTCTGTTTGGCTGCAAATATTCTCAGCTTTACTTGGATCTTCCCCTTCCTCTTACTTAGCTCTTTTCCTCCTAGGATTACTCGAAATGTAAAAAGATCATGATTGAGCGGGGTGAACTTTTTCTCAGGAGAATATCACTATCAAGAAATAAAATTGCAGATTTATGCCATACTTTCATCAAAGATGGGGCGGTGAGTAGATATTCATCATGTGTCATCATTGGGAACAAGGACTTTGCAGTTAGATTCCTGGGGTAAAATCCTGCCTGTCACTTACTTGCTGTGTACCCTTCTACAAGTTACTTAATTTCTCTGTACTGCAGTTTTTTCATCTGTTCAGTAAGAAACCTACCTACCTTGCAGGTGGTTGTGAGGACTATGAGATGGAATGTGTAAGTGCTCTGCACTCTGCCTGCACTTAGTGAGCACCATGTAAGTGTGTAGATATCATTATAGATAGTTGTCATGTCAAACAGAGGAAACACTGGGACAGCAGGGATGATTATTGATTTAATCTGATGTCTTACTAAGGAAGTATTTTTATTATTGGATATGTACTAATCCGAATTTAACACAGAATAGAATTCAACACAGAATAGCTCTTGGCACTGGTTAGTACTATCTTCCTTTTAAAAGTTTGCAGTAGATTGAGATTTTCCTCTGTAATTTCATTTGAAATGCTCTTACAGAGATATAAAGCTGCCAAGTGTTTATAAGTTAAGTGAGGAAAGACAGGAGCTACAAGTTAAGTCAGCTTCCCAGGAGAGGGGGAATAAAACTTCTATGGTGTCTTTCTTAGCAGAGTACCTCCCTTCTGACAGGTAAGCCTCCACTGGCCATAAAATTATTTACTTGCGTTGTGACTCTGAAATCTTGTCCTCTCTTTTATTACCACCTTCCCAACCTTTAAGGTATATTATTAAATAAATGATGTAATAGATTGTGAGTGGAACTTGTACAGAAGCCAGTTGCAAACAAAGCCATTTTTGGCCAAGTGGAGACAAGCATTGCAGTGACTTAGATTCAATTCAGAGCAGAGCTGCTGAGATTTGAAGATGCAGGTGAACCATCTGCAGCTTAATTTATTAAGCACAGACTCTGAATCAGTAGGTCTGGGGTGGGACCTGAGAACCTGAACAAGCTCTCAGGCAAAGCCCAGAAAAGTGCTAGGGAGCTATGTCCATACCTCTTGCATTATACAGCCCTCTGTACTGCATTCCTTAGAGCAGAGGTAACTATAAGGGTCTACAAATTGTATCTGGCCCACAGATTGGTTTTGTTTATCAATAGTGTTTATAAATTTTTAAAAAATGAGTTAGCAAACATTTAGGTATTGGATTTTCAGCTCATTTGGAAAAATCAGATGATCTGGCAACAGTGGGACCAAGTGACAAACTGGAACTTAGTCTTTCCACTTTGCTGCTGGCCCCACCTGGCCCACTGCATTTCTTTATGCTACTGCCTGGTGCCTGTAGCCCAGGTGTGCAAACCATGTCTTAGAAATGGGAAAACCAACCCATAGGAACCTAACGGAGCCTTCAGCTATAAGGCTTTTGTATCTTGTGAGTGACAGCACATGGAGATCCCACTTCTGCACTTGCAGAATTGCAAGAGAGGAGACTGTAATGTATTCCTCTGGTAGAAAACTTTTCATCATGTATATAGACCTAAACTCGGTGTGCTCTCAAGGACCTCCTTTCTGATTATAGCTAATATGTGAGAAAGCCTTAGGGTACCAGGAATATGCATTAGAGTGGCAGAGAGTATGGGTGATGATCGCAAAGCCTGCCCCTTTGACGGAGTTTTCTCGGCCCACAGAGAATATTAACTCACGCCTACTCCAGAGTGGTCCTGAGGGTGTTGGAAGCAGCCGTGGCGGCCAAGAAGCGTTTTAGTGTGTACATTACAGAGTCACAGCCAGATTTATCAGGGCAAGTATCTTTACATTTGGTTATGTGCCCAGCAGTCAAACTGAGGTTAGAATCCATTGTAAGAGGGGCCAGAACATGCCCCCAATTTGCCAATCAGTTGGTTTTGTCTTTTTGCCTGTTCCTGGCCCTGGAAGAAAAGTGACTGCGGTAGGTCCCAGTGCAGGATGCAGAGTTTTTATTTAGTAGCTAAATCAGGAACAGTAAGAAATTGTGTCACTTGAAAGATTCTTATCCAGGAATCGATAATTCATGTCTCATCTATCCAGAAGGTAAAGAAAAACTTTTTTTCTAAATTTGCATATCTTGCCCAGAGTCCCCAGGAGTATAGTTTTCCTGAAACACACCCACTTCTAAAGATCCAAACTCTTTGTTTCCTTAATCCAAAATCTTGGGATCTGCCCCTTAATCCATTATTAAATGAGTTTCAAGCAAACATGATTTATCACTGTCCAAATTAAGTGACTCATCATACACCACTGTGGGACTTTCTTGGACGTCCTCTAATATTTTCAAAATGTCATTTTCAGTAAGAAAATGGCCAAAGCTCTCTGCCACCTCAACGTCCCCGTCACCGTGGTTTTGGATGCTGCTGTTGGGTAAGCTCCCATCTTCCCCAGCCACAGTTACTTTTCCTCATCTACCCCCAGGGTTGGTTTGAAGCAAGATTTCCAGATTGAAGGTTTGAGTCCCATTCATAAAACTGCACTGGGTAGTATCTTGCCTCTTAACCAGTTAAGCTCATGATACGATCTGGATAGTGCATCCAGAAGGCAGGGCTGTAGGATGCTGGGGACATGGGAGTCGTTTCCATGGTTTATGGTGTATTTTAAGAGCAAAGTGCAAAGGGTCGGGTTAGGCTCAGCACACAGTCAGTGCTCCCTCTTGATCTGAAAGCATGGCTGTTCTCTGGCACTCTGGGGTGCTTTGTCTCAACCATGGAACTTGGCTTCCAACACTGAGGTCACATGTCCTGTGGATTGTCAGTGTACCTCACAAGAGAAAGCAAGAGTAGTCATTTCTTGGAAAGAAAACACCTAAGGCAGATGACTAAGGGAATTAGGAATGTGTTCAAGAGTAAGCATTTTGAAGAATTCTAATTGCTGATTTTAAAGGTAAATTGGCCTTTCTCCATCTGAAAGTCTTAAATTACCTAGCATTTTTTTCCAACTTCAGATCACATCAGGTTTTTAAATTTTTTGTTCTAAAGTAGGACAATTGAGTATGCCACATGTAGTAAGGATAAATCCCAGGTCATGACATTCTTGCGTCATCTACACACATACATGTGCATGTATGTACTGGGGGGGCAGTGTGAAGTGTATGTTTCATTGTGTGGCCGCGATCAAAATCAGTCTTAGTTCCCCTGGTAGCAGAGTTGGTAACAGTGCCAAGGGTTGTCTCCTACCCTAAGTTGCTCTTTGGAAGAAAGTTACGGGAGAAACTTATTCTGGACAATGGAATATTAATCTTTGCAGGTGATAATGCTTCTAATAAGAGCCAAGAATAAGAACAGAACAAAACCCTTTTTTGATTTCCTTAGCTATATCATGGAGAAAGTGGATCTTGTCATAGTTGGTGCTGAAGGAGTTGTAGAAAACGGAGGAATTATTAACAAGGTAGGAGCATCAGTTTTCCCCAGTTCCTTGCTCAAGGCAGGGGAATGTATCACTGACCTTGGACACCAAAACAGTATTGGCTGCTATGGTTCATTCATCTGATCCTGCTTAACTTCAGGATGTCACCATTGCATCGGATTGTCTCCCAGTTCCCACAAGCCATTGCAGTGGTCACATTTTGGTCAGTTTCCTTCTGCTTTAGAGCTTCATCTCTATAATATGGGAGAAAGGAATTTATCTTTTCTCAGAACATGCTTTCACTGGAATTCGGTTGTTTGGCTTCTTTCTAGTTGCATATATTTGGTATCAATATAATATGTTACAATTTCTCTGTCCATTGGTTAACATGGGAAGATTTTGTGAATTGTTTTTTGCCTGAGTATGGCAAAATATATATAACATAAAATTTTCCATTTTAATCACTTGTAAGTGTACAATTCAGTGGCATTAATTATATTCATGTTGCTGTGCAGCCATCTTTACTGCGTTTTCAACTTTTCCGTCAACGCAAACAGAAACTGTAGCCATTCAGCAAAACTCCCCATTTCTCCCTTCCCATCCCCTAATCTAATCTACTTTCTGTCTCTGATTTTTGCCTATTGTGGGTACCTTAAGTGGAATCATTGTATTTTGAGTTTGGCTTACTTCGCTGAGTATGTTTTCAGTGCTCCTCCATGTCGCTGCATGTGTCAGTACTTCACTCCTTTTTATGGCTGGATCATATTCCATTGTGTGACTGGACCACATTTGTTTATCCATTCATCTGCTGATGGATACTTGTGTCTACCTTTTGGCTACTGTGAATAATCCTGCTGTGAACATGGGTGTACATTTATTTGAGTCCTGTTTTCACTTACTTAGGGTGTAAACCTGGTAAGTGCTGGCTTATGTGGTAGTTGTGTTTAGCTTTTTGAGGAACTGCCAGACTTTTTCTACAGCAGCTACACAATTTCACATTCCCATCAGCAACATTTGATGTTCTGATTTCTTTACATCCTTGCCAACACTTTTTAAATTATAGCCATCCTAAGAGGTGTAAAATAGTATCTAACTGTGGTTTTGAGTTGCTTTTCCTTAATGACTAAGGATCTTAAACATCTTTTCATGTGTTTATTGGCCATTTATATATATTTTTTGAGAAATGTGTATTTCTTTTTTTAAAAGATCCTCTCATTCCAAAGTGAGAATTACATGTATTGTGTTCACTCTCATGCTTTCTGTTGCTTTTACTTCAGATGTGCCATAAGATCTCATGCTTCTCCATTTTCTCTGATTTTCCAGATAGGAACCAACCAGATGGCTGTGTGTGCCAAAGCACAGAACAAGCCTTTTTATGTAGTTGCAGAAAGTTTCAAGTTTGTACGGCTCTTTCCACTAAACCAGCAAGATGTCCCAGATAAGTTTAAGGTAAGAGCTTTACATATTTGGTTATTTTAGTCTAAACAGAAACCTTTGAAAAAATGTAGCGCTAAGAATGTTGGATGAGTCATCCACTTCCCATTGCTACTTTCTCTGACACTTAGGATACAGAGATAATTGCTGGATGTTGAACTTAGACTCACAGAGTCTCACTTGTCCCCAGAGTTTCAAGTTTTTAAGCCTCATTCACTTAAGCACTAGATAAGGGCTTAGGGGAGGTGAGGGAAGTGGTGGTAAACAGTAGGAGCTTGGAAGTCAGCTTTCGGGCTCAGCTCTCCCTCCCTGCTAATAGCTGTGTGACCTTGGGAAATGCTTTGGTTTTCAGTTCTCTGTAAAATGTCAGCATTCTCTGACAGGGTGCCGACGATTCTCCGATAATCCCTAGGAAGCACTTAGCATAGTGTAGGCTCTCTATAAACACCCCACATTGTTGGCTTGAGAGGTCTGGAGGAGTAAGTCCAGTCCTGCACACTACTGAGGAAACATGGTTTAGGTTTTTCACTAAACTATGGCCCTGGCCCAATGGGCTGCTGTCTGGCTCAGCCCAGCAGCACTGCCCTCCTGACCAGTGTGCACAGCTGGATTCCCAGAGAGCCTTTGGGGCAGCAGCATGCTAATTGCTCAGGCCAAGACTCACCAGTTCAAGGGCCTAAACATGTGGAGCTGACTGACATATTCTTCCTACCTCCTCAGTATAAGGCAGACACTCTGAAGTCTGCACGGATGGGACAAGACCTCAAGGAGGAGCACCCGTGGGTCGACTACACCTCTCCTTCCTTAATAACTCTGCTGTTTACAGACCTGGGTGTGTTGACGCCCTCAGCAGTCAGCGACGAGCTCATCAAGCTGTATCTGTAACCACTGGGTCCTTTCCTGTGGGTATACAGCTGATGTAGGTGGCACAGGGTGAGTAGGTTCTTGACTCCCTCAGTGAGCCAGGCCAAACCTGAATTGTTTTTTTATGAAGATTTATGGACAAAGGACTTCAAATTACAAGTCTTGGGAGAATTTTTTATTCATTTCAGTCCCATCTAAAATATGTTCATGTTTCCCTAAACCTGACCTAAATTGTGCTTATGGTTTCCAGATTCTTTCATTCATTTCCAGTTTCCAGAAATACAGGTTAGATTATTGGCTACTTGACTGATGAAAGACGGGTGCAAGTTCACCTCCCTGTTCCCCTGCTCTCCAGACTTATCTGCCAAAAGCGTCAAGTACAGAGATGCCAGCCTGAATAAACAGATGTTCCTGACTGCAGCCAGGCACCCCTTCAATAACTAACAGTCCAGGACACATGTTTCATATGGTGCCTTATAAGAAAGGCAGGAAATGCTAGCTGAGTTCACAGCCAACTTCCAATGATGAACATGAGCCAGGGGTTGTCATCTCTTTGACAGGATCAAGCCAAGTGGAGTGGAATCTACCAAGAGAACCCAAGGAAGAAAGAAACAGCATTTAGCAGGAGTATGCTCCATGGCTCACCACTTACAAAGATGCCTTCCAGAACATTTGTAAACTTAAAACTGTATTCATGAAAGATGTGAATTTCCTTTAAACACGTTTAGTCCTCAACAGCTTTTTAAATTGTACTTGGGAGCAATTCAGCATCTTTTCAAATAAATTATGTGAAAGATTTTAATCTGGAATTGCTTCAATACTGATAAATGCCCAAATGTACTGGCCATCTTGGTTGAAAACACTACACACCCACATTCACACCCTAAGACACAATTAGAAGGAAATAAATAATATATTCAGCAGAAGGCATAATAATTTTCTTTCCCAAAATATGATATGACTTGCTTGCTGTTTTCAGATATTCCCCAATGAAACAGTACTGGGGACTGTTCTTAGAAGAGCCCTAGCAACATCAGCCACCCCTGCAGTACATCCGAGAGAGCAGCCTCGGGGCAGGGACACCAGGGAGGTAAGTCAGATGCCTGAAAACACTAAGGAACTTTAAAAAGCCAAAAATCAAGTGTAGAAAAGTAAGTATAAAATAGCCACAGGAAAGTGAGCTCTTTAATATAGGTGACTCATCAAGGTAACACTGACATCTATTATTAATACTCAAGTAATTTTATACCCCAAGGCTGGCACGGTTCTAGAATATTCATGAGCATTAACCCACCACCTCTCTCCAAGTTGAAACGGCAGCTGGCAGGGATGTGGGTCCCGGATGGTTCCTAGAGTGTGAGTATCAGTTCCCCTCTACCCGCGCCCCAATTCCCTGTGCTCCCTGCACCCCCCGAGGCACTGGAATCAGCAGTCAGCTTCCAAATCTGAGATCCCCAAATCTGCCACTTTGACTGTCCTTTTGCCACTTGTCAACAACCCCTTCTCAAATTCTTCTTCAGTGATTTTGCCTTTTTTAAACTTTTTCAAGAGCCTTGTGTCATTGAGAAGTTCCTCCATGTCCTCATCTTCGATATCAGAACCCTAAGTGCAGAAGAAACCAACAACATATGACTGACTTTCTCGGCAACAGCATTCTAAGTGAAACCAATTTTTAATTAGGAACCACATGCTTTCAAATCAGCAGGTTCCCCAACCAAGTCACCAACAATATAGAAATCTGAGAACCCCATACTATTCCTACATTGCAAAAAAATTTGTTCAGAATTCTGAGTATATAAGTAATTAAACTGTATACTTTACCTCTTTCCTTTTCCTTTTCTCATTCATTTTTTTCTTCTTTTCCTTTTTGGCTTTCTGCTTTGACCATGCTTTATTTTTTATGAATTTTCTTCTCCCTTCATTATCTATTTTCTCTTTTCTTTGTTGGTCCAGTAGTTTCTGCCTCTGCTTTTCTCTAATCTTATCTTTAAATGGAATGGTGTCTGTGTTAACATCCACAGGCACAAAATCAGGAAACTGCTTTCCTCTCAGTTCTGGCATCCTGGGCATCCTCAGCAGGGCAAAACCTCGAGCAAGACTAGCAAAATCAAGATCTAGTTAAACCAAAACATCAGAGTTAGTACACCCAAAATAGAGGTATGAGCATCAACCCATAGAAGATTCCTAGAAATGTAATCTTTTCTAACCAAATGATGTCATGGATTCATTTTAATTAGAATTAAAATCATTGTATGTTTACTCAAAAGAAAACTCAGCCAGTTTATTTTGTATATTCAAATCTAGGAAGACTTCCTTTCAAATGTTTAGAAGATAATAACCCTGACATGTCTAACATTTTTGTAAGACAAATCAATTTCATACTTGCAATTCAGGTACACCTCAGAGGCACCACAGGTTCAGTGACTACCACAAGAAAACAAGTCAAATGAGTTTTTTAGTTTCCAGTGTATATAAAAGTTATATTTATGCTATACTGTCATCTACTAAGTATGTAACAGCATTATGTCTAAAAAACTATATACATATACCTTAGCTAAAAAATCCTTTGTTGCTAAATTTGCCAACCATTTATTGCTAAATTTGCCAAACATTTTTATTGCTAAAAAATGCTAACCATCATCTGAGCTTTCAGTGAGTTGTAATCACTGATCACAGATCATAACAAATGTAACAATAATGAAAATGTTTTAAATATTGCAAGAATTACCGAAATGTGACAAAGGCCCACAAAGGGAGGAAAAATGGGACCAACAGAGTCACCTAATGCAGGGTAACCACAAACCTTCAATTTGTGGGGAAAAAAAAAGCTATACCTGTGAAGCACAATCAAGCGAGGTGTGCCTATGCTTGTAAAACTGTCAGATATTCAGCCATTAAAAAGAAAAGAAATCCTGTCATTTTCAACAACATAGATGGATATAGAGGGTATTATGCTCAGTGAAATAAGCCTGGCAGAGAAAAACAAATAATCATATGATTTAACTTATTTGTGGAAAATAAAAAAGCAAAACAGAAGAAATGAAGACTTCAAAGACAGAGAAATGATAGTGGTTACCAAGGAGGAGGGGAGTCCCATGGGGGAGGGGGCCTGTTGAACTTCTGTGATGTACATTTGATAATTTAAAATAAGTAAATAAATAAATAAAGATTAAAAAAACAAACTGTCAGATGTTTTAGATGGAGACACTTAAGTGAAGAAATCCAACTTACCCTTTAATCTGAAGATGAGGTTGCATTCATGTTTTGCATAAGCCTGGACGTATGACACAAAAGCTTTCATGCCCTTTTCAAACATAGCTCTGTCCGCCAGGGCCATGGACTTGAGCTTTGGAAGGAGGTCTACTGTGTTTTTCTGGAGTTTCATCTCCTGCAGGGGGCACTGCACAGAAACCACAGTCTCACCACCTCTGACTAGAATCACCTCATCCCAAGGCCCTACCATCAGAGCCAGTGCAAATAAACCCAAAGGCAAAACAGTTCATTTCAATCTTAAACCAGAGGCTTTAAACCCCAAATCCAACCCAAACATTTGGTCTGAAAAGCATTTTAAAATTTTAAATAAAATTAAAATAAGATTTTACATTGCAATCCTGATTTCTGGTTGGAAAATAGGGTAACACTAGGTCCTATAGCCCCAAGCACAGACATGGGCCGAGCAGTAGCTGCCACCCTCAGTGGGGCTGTGGCTCCCCACAGCCTCACAGCCAGGTAGGTGTCCACACCTCCATCACCAGTCGGGCCCCTATGAGTTTTTAACTGCCAATCTGTGTTCTGGACTACTTAATGGAAAAGAAACTTAATTGCTGTCAGTGGGCATTCCAGATGAACATGAAAAAAAAAGGAAGGCAGCTTACTTTTTGGTTAATTGCAAGGAAATTGATGTAAGACCCTTCCATGGGAAGGAGGAACACCAGTGCGCTGCCTCCGTGGCCAATGCGAGCTGTGCGGCCACAGCGATGCACGAAGGCACTGTAAACACAGAACAACACGGCCACCATGCAGGCAGGGCACAGGCCGGGCTGCCACTCCCCACAGCTGAGTCTCAGCCCTACCACCTACTAGTGTAACAAATAGGCAAGCTGGTGATTAAATATACATTGCAAACCACAGAGGATTCTGTAAGACATTTAATGTGAACTACAAAACTTTTTAATTTATGCCTATCTGGTGATACAGGTAGAATATGAGCCTAGTAGAAAATCTGAGAAACAAAAGTATAAAAAAGAAAATAAAAGTGACCTATAAACCCTCCACCAAGAAGTAATAATTACTACTGCTCAGGAGCTTACATTTACAAGCATTTTTCTATGTTTAGAACCCTTTCTTGGGAATACATGCTTACTCTGGGAGAATAATTGAAATTTTCATATATGGTGTTATATATTTCCTTTAAACATTCTATCATGTGCATTTCTGCAAAAAACCTTTAAAAGTATTTGAAAATAATTGCTAAATGTGGTATCACTATTGACATACCACTGATGGTTCTATTTAAATAATGTTTTGACAAACACCATCATTTCTTTTCCTCTAAATTTACAGTCACACTAGATTCCTAGCCATTCTGACATGCTGTACCTTGCACTGCTGGGAGGGTCGTACTGCAAAACCCAGTTTACTTCAGGAATATCTATTCCTCGGGCCATCACATCAGTGCACACTAAGATCCCACTAGAAAATGAGAAAACACTGCTGAGTAAGAAGGCACCATCTTCAATCACCACTGATGTTTACCAATCTTGATGATAGTAATACACAGATTCCAGAATTGTTCACAGAAGCAAGTATTTAGTAATAACATTTTGATTTTTCCTTCCTCCTAAGAATATCTAGAACTTTACAGATTCCCAATGAAAATAGAATGTAGGGAGGAAACAGTGAAAGAATTTCTTTAACTAGCACATTCCATTTGGGGTGGGGAGGGAACTAGTGGATCCAATCCTTTGCAGCCATTTAAAAAAACAAGTGAAATTTTCCCTCCCAGCCTGTGGGGTACAGTCAGTTCTATCACTTTGCTTAAAGAGTGTTTAACATCACCAGAATGTTCATGATTAAGAAAAACTCACAAGTATTATTTATATGCACAAGAAGAAGCAATTTATGGTCATTCAGAGGTAGTTCCCTATCATGTGGTCCCCCACGATGACCGGACTGGATTGTTCCCATCTGCCCCATTCACCTTTCACAAACAGGTATCAAAACCCCCACTGGCCAGGCCAGGGGCCAGATACTGGGGAATCCAGCAATGTGCACCACACACAGGTTCCTGTTTTTATACAGCTTAACTCTAGCAGGGAAGTCATCAGATAACAAAGGAAGTTCATTTCAATCTTAAACCAGAGGCCTTAAACTCCAAATCTAACCCAAACATTTGGTCTGAAAAGCATTTTAAAATTTTAAATAAAATTTTAAAATCAGATTTTACATTGCAGTCCTGATTTCTGGTTGGAAAACAGGGCAACACTAGGTCCCATAGCCCCAAGCACGGGGACAGCACAGCAGAATGGAGTCAGGACAGAGGGAGGGGGGTGCTCTGGGCATTTACACAGAGAGGATGTGATCACTGGGTTAGAGGAGGAAGAGGGGTCCAGGCAGGAAAAACAACCCATGTGAAGGTTTAGAGGCAGAGGGACCCACAAAAGTGCAGAGTGATCTCGGATATGCTAACCCACCTCTGCAGTTTGCGGAACTCCATGAAGATCTTATTGCGCTTATATTTCATCTTTCCATGAATGCACATTATGGTCACACTTCTCACCAGGGCCTCCAGGGCCCGTCCAT